AGTGTTCACCGGGCGGTGGTGTGGACAGAAAACTCTCCGCTGCCGGAGAACCGGCCGTTGGTTTTGGACCGGGGCAGCCGGACTGGACAGGTACTTTCCTGCCATAACCATGGCCCGACAGCCGGAGGAGCTGCCGTGTACTTTGGCCATGTTCCTGCTGCTCCGGTGGCTCCTGCTGCTGGACCGAGTGAGCCTCCTTCTCTGACAGCTGGCTGCCTGTTGCTATCCGGGCTGGAGCTGGAGCTGGAGTCTCCACCCGCACATTCCTCTGGGCCGAGAGAGAGAGAGAGAGTGGAGCCGGACAGGGTTTCACCTCATCCACAGCGCTCCCTGCAGCTGCTGCTGCTGCTGCTGCTGCTGCTGCTGCTGCTGAGTCTGCAGTTCTGTCCTTTGTTTTCATCAGCCGGACACCGATGATGAAACAGTCACACGTTTCATCATCGGCTCGAGTTCTCAACAGTTTGAGTAATCGTAGAAGAAGAAGAAGAAAATAGTCAATAATAAATGTTATCCCAGGTAGAGTTTTTTATTTTTATTTTATTGTTTCACTGTTTCACTGCGTTTATTGTGTTATAGAATATAATTAAACAACTAAAACATTATTTCCGTTCTGGCCCGTGGTGTTTTTTATAGGAGGAACATATTATCCCGGAACCATCTTGGCGGAAACTAATTACCCTGACCCCAATCTGTAACTGGTGACGTTGTGACGTTGTAAAAATGTGTATGTGCATTTTTATTTGAAAATGACACATTCGAGTCAAATTTACGAAAGTATTGAGCGAAAAAAACAACAAAACACAACATTTTGTTTAAAAGTATCCAAAAACAGAAACAATACAAACTCAAAACTACTAACGGAGTTCATTTATTTAATTACAACATGTTTCTCTTCACGTAAACTGAACTCCGGTTTGTTACCAAAGTTAATGTGATACACAACGACGTCACTAGATGGCGCTTTCCGTCTACAGTATATGTGAGTGTTTCTATGTCGTTTGTCGGATTTAATAAGTTCCGTGGAACTTAGTGGGTTTTTTTGTTTGTTTTTAAACCGCTTATCTCTGTGAATACGTATGAATTCCATGATATAGTATTTTTCTGTGAATTAAATAATCAACATTATTATTTTATTATTATTATTATTATTATTCAGGTGTCCTGATATGAAGTAGTAACAGTAACAGAAGTCACTGTTTGTCCCTGAACAAGTGTTTTATTTACGTCCCATTTATTTAGAACAGAATATTCTCGAATCCATTAAAGCTGTATGTTCGGCTCAGCCCGACAGCAGGCGGCGCTGTCTCCACAGACCATAATAATACTGACAGCTGCCAAAGTCAAATATAAAGAACCTCTAACTTTACCAACGTCCTGCACTGAAGTCCAACTGTCAGGTTTATTTATAGCCCTCCCTGGGAGTCACTGATGACGTCACGCTCCTGTCTCCGTTCCTTCCTTATCTCTGTCTGACATCAGGCTGGACACAGAGCCGGACTACATCTGCCCTCGGTGCCCCGGGGGCAGTCTGAGGCCAGTGCCGTGGTGCACGTACTGTGTAATCTTCAGGAAGTGATTAAGGGGTGTGAGATCAAAGGTCTGTGCAACAAGAAAACATTCCTCCCTCATCCTCCCTCATCCTCCCTCATCCTCCCCCGGGGCCACGAGGACAGACGGACAGACGGACAGACAGCTCGGTCTCGTGTTGTTCTCCTGCAGTTTCCTTCAAAGAACAGATTCTCCGGTACCGGAAGTTTGACTGATCCTGGAGCAAACACTAAGACAAATAAACGGGAAAAGTATTAATATCCCTGCTACAGGTTCTATAAGCATCGAAGAAGTCATGACGTAACGGCTGTAATTTTAGTCAGAAACCCAACATATAAATATCATAAATAAAACCGTTCATTTTTTAAATTCTTAAACCCCCGACAGCTCTGACAGAATTAAACAACAAATAAAAACCGAAGAAGTCATGACGTAACGGTTGTATTTTTAGTCAGAAACCCAACATATGAATATTATTTTAAAATGGTTAATTTTTTAGAATTCATAAACCACCGACTGACAGAATTAAACAACAAATAAAAACGGTGACATTATTTCTGTTTCCTACAAATGTTTGTTTTTTTCTTCAAATGCTGCCTTTACGTTTCTAATGTTTAAAATCGAGTGAAAAACTAATTTCTTCTTTATTTAAATTCCCAAATCTAAAGCCTTGACTGAATCATTGATAAAAAATTGATGTGGCAAAAAAGACGGGATATTATGAAAGGTGGTGAGGTTATTCAAATACTCAACTTCAATAAACGTTAATTAGGATGAGTAAATAATAATAATAATAAAATAACGATCACATCGTAATTAGTTTTCAAAGATAAACAAACAATTATTGGCCTAAATATTTAAACAATATTTTAAAATAATTTAAACCGCACATTTAGAAGAAAAAATTGGTTTCTATTTTTAAATTGATATTTTTTTCTAAACATTCTTTAAACACGGTTTCTATGTTTAAATTGATAATATTTTTTTCTAAACATTCTTTAAACATACTTTTAAAAATATTTTTATATAACTATATATCTTTGCACATTCTTACTGTTTTGTCTCCTTTTGTACTGCAGTACTACATGATGATGATTCGTACGCAGTAAATTAAAGTACTCAACAAAACTATATTATGAAAATATAAATTTTTTTAACTGTCAAATCTACTGTTAGAATTACAAAAAAATAAAAATAAAATGTTTTAATTAACAGAACTGTTAACACGCACGGCGGTGACGTCAAAGGCCGCAATGTCCTCTGCGGTGACGTGGGGCACATAAAAACGCGTGTAGTAAATCATCACATTTGTCACAATCTGAGTGAAAATGACGTCACAAACGCCGCTCCAGGCGCAGATGAGTTCACGGCCCCTCTGTTCTCCGGCTTCTTAAAAATGCCGCGCTCTTCAGAAATGGAAAGGCCAGAACGTGAGTCCAAACTCATAAAACTGCTCATAATTAGCACTAATTATTGGCGCTAATTACAACGATTAAAAGCCCGTAATATACACGTGTTTAAACTTCAAAGCAAACTTCAGATTTAATGTTATATTTATGTTTTCCTCATTTGACCCGGAAATGTGCAAGAAACAAACGGTAGAGGGCAGTATACACCACAGGCTGTGTGTGTGTACTGCAGGTGTGTTGTTGGTATAACTTTTCTTCTGAGGATCATTAAAAAATATATATAAATGTGTAAATTAGTTGATAATAATGTGTAATTTTAGACCGTGGCCAAGCGGGGGCGCTACTACTGGACTGACAACAATGAGCTGCTGATGAACAGAACCACAGGCCGAACGATCACCTGACTGAGTGGGCCACACCGGTGTGGGCCACACCGATGTTCATGTGGACTAACGTTGACGTATGGTCTAAGTATGTGGCACCGATGACGTCACAGCCGTTGTTTCCCGGGTTGTTGTTGTTTTTTCTCCCAGCAGTTGAAGACACTTCTCTGCGGACGAATGTGTTTTACGTTCTGGACCAGGCCGTAAAACAGATTTAATTTAGTTTTACAGCCTCGTAACAGGCAGACAGTCCCCAGCCACCAGTCTGGTATTTCTGACTGCACTTCCAGTTAGGGATCATCATCATCATCATCATCATCATCATCCTCATCATCCTCATCCAGTGAACCGCCCTCGGGCTCCTGGTTATTTTCCATGGCTTCATCACCATCAGCCGTACAATTAAAACCAGTCACGGCCGAACGTTACCTGGTTGTCGTAACGCTGTAACGCTGTGGGTTGACCACTGGAGGCATAAACATATACAGTACATACACACATATATTTAAATATAAATATATTTAAAGTTCACCTGAAAATCTTCACTTATTGAGACAGAACTGTTGTCATTTGTTTCGTTTTTTTTCTTCTTTTTTTCTGAGTTTATTTTTTCGTTTTAT